AGCCCCATGTCGGGCTCCCTGCTCAGCAGGCAGTCTGCTTCTCCCTAGGGTTACCCCTCCTGCTGCTCGTGTGCATGCGCTCTGTCTCTCTCTGTCTTTCTCTCTCTCTTTATAAAGCACTGGGTGTTATATGAAAACAGTGGATCGTGGATCACCACATCAAAAACTAATGGTGTATGGTGACTAACGTAACATAATAAAATAAAATTTTAAAAAGAATCTTAAAAAAAAATTTGAAGGACTAAGGAGATAAAGGCAACCCGCACAGTCCTAGCTTGGGTGACCAGAGAGAGGGCACTGTGACCAGTGAAAGATAGGCCTAGATAAGGCTGGCCGATGAAGAGGGAGAAGGCGACGCAGGTATTTAGTCTGGGACTTGTGTACCAGGGCTATCAGATGGCCCAGGAGAGGCATTTAGAATGAGGGTGAAAGCCTGAATCTGAATCTTGTGCAGGGGCAGATTTACCATAAAACTTGAGCTTAGGGCCCCTCACATGCATGGGTCCCATTCAGGGAACTAGAGGGACCCCACTCATAAGTGCACAAGATTATTGCCTTTTTTAAATACATAAAAGTTAAAATACCTTTAAACTGCAGTTGCTTAGTGTCAGTGACTCCACCCCAGTTTCTCCAACACAAATTCCCTAGGTGTTAGATGCTTAGAGTGGCTGCAGACATTTTGGGGGATCCAGTCAAGGGGAAAATTGAGCTGGCGGTGCATTTAGCTTGGGTTTAGTGGGATATATTTATGTGATTCTCAGCTTCTTCAGCTATTGCTGACTTATGCAGTAGGGGAATAACTTTCAGGAATATCCCTGCCCCTCCCTCTGCTGAAGTACGGGGCCAGATGTATTAAAATATGAACTATTGCACCAGCACCAGAAGTTCAAGGGGTAGTGGAGGAAAAACAAGGTTAAAAAAAAAGGATGTACGGGGTCAGAAGTAATCTATGGAAAATTCTCCCCATCATCCGATGTACTATAAATGTAAGCAGAGGATTTTGTTCTTGTCAATGACTTGCTGAAATGAAAATTCTCTCCAGGCAGGAACTGTGGTGCATTAAAGATGACTTTAATTCTTTGTCACTCCTTCCAGTAAGCAGTGGTGTCTGCTTCCCCTCCCCTTGAGTCTGGGCTAATCCTATGATTTGCTTTGACCAATGGGATATGGTAGAACAATGCTGGGCAACTTCCAAACCTGGATCTTAGGAGGTACAAAGCTTCCCACTTTTGCACACTCAGAATGCTCCCATCATGAAATCCGCATGCCATGCTTCTAGAATTCTAATCCAGGAGGAAAGGGCTTGTACAGGAGAACCGAGTCACCCAGCTAATGGCCGGCAACAAATGCCAGGCATGTAGGGAGCCATCATGAGGGTCCAGCTTAGCAGAGAGCACTCTGACTATAGCCCCAGTGGATGGTCCGCGGGGCTAAACTTAGTCAACCCAGAATCATGCAGTAACAAATGGCTAGTGTTTTAAATTACTCAGCAATAGGGGCACCTGGGTGGCTCAGTTGGTTAAGCGACTGCCTTCGGCTCAGGTCATGATCCTGGAGTCCCGGGATCGAGTCCCGCATCGGGCTCCCTGCTCGGCGGGGAGTCTGCTTCTCCCTCTGACCCTCCCCCCTCTCATGCTCTCTCTCTCTATCTCATTCTCTCTCAAATAAATAAATAAAATATTAAAAATAAATAAATAAATAAATAAATTACTCAGCAATAAATAACCAAAAGAGTATTGCAGTGTTTGGATCGGAAGGAAGATAAAATGGAGATAAAGGACCAAAAGAGAGTTTCTTCTGGACAGGACAGATTTGACTATCTTTATAGAGCTAAGACGAAGGAGTGAGTAGTTCAGTGAAGAGTAAAAGGTCCAGGAGAAAGGGGAGGTACTTTAACACGTCCTTGAATGAGACAATAATGAGTTGGCCAAGGAGGCAAATTGAGATACTGGCTTGATAGAAGACCGGGAACTTCATTCTATGAGAATGGTAGAAATGAAGTCAGCAGGGGTGATATGAAGTTACTTAGCTTGGTAAACCTTTTATCTTCCAGAAGACAACTTAAAATAAGTTTTTTTTTTAAAAAAAAGATTTTATTTATTTATTTGACAGAGACACAGCGAGAGAGGGAACACAAGCAGGGGGAGTGGGAGAGGGAGAAGCAGGCTCCCGTGCTGAGCAGGGAGCCCGATGTGGGACTCGATCCCAGGACCCTGGGATCATGACCTGAGCTGAAGGCAGATGCTTAACGACTGAGCCACCCAGGTGCTCCAAAAAACTTAAAATAAGTTTAATCTGTGGCCAGCAAATAAATATTATTTATAGCATGATTTTTTTTAAGTTTTTAAATTTTTTTTTAGTAATCTCTACACCCAATGTGGGGCTCAAACTCACAACTCCGAGATCAAGAGTTACATGCTGTTTCCAGCTGAGCCAGCGAGGTGCCCCGACTGCATGAATTTAACTGGAATAAAGAACATAGAATTTGATTCCCTATTAAAAAATAATGAGACCAGAAAGAAGACAATCTCCTAAAAGTGGTAGAATTGCTGTAAGTGGTTTAAACTTTCTCAAGTTCTTAAGTTGACTTCCATGGAACACTTGGTGAAATGTGTTATATGGATCATTCCTTAGGGCAGTTTGCAACAGTTTTACTTAACACAGTAAAAACCTCAGTCAGTATCTGTTAAGAAAAACACAGGAAGGACTTGAGCTATGGAGGGAAGGAAAATAAAAAGACTTCATTTTAACTGATGTGATATAATGTTCAGTGTCCAGGAGCGAACGGTCATGAAAGAATTCTTGGGACACTTTCAGTGCAAAAAACGTGGTTTTAGTAAGGCATGGGGACAGGACCTGTGGGCAAGAAGAGCTGCAATGGGGTTGTGACAGGTGACTGATTATATACTTTTAAGTTAGGAAGGGGTTAAGGATAGTGTATGTCTCTAAGGAATTTGGAAGCAAGGTTTTCAGGACCTTGAGGGGCTAGCTGCTGTTTAAGATAAAGTCATTTGCTACCGTCTAGTAAAACCTTAGTCTTCAGAGCCTTCACATATATATCAGTGCGCCATATGTTAGGAAGATGATTGCTACGTGTATCTTGGGGGAGGAGGGTAGAGATAAAGCAAGTTTGCAAAAGGATTTTTATATGTTAAAGAAGACTCACAGGATCCTGGAGGTCAGGCTAATGTCAAGCTTAGGTTGCCCTTTGCCTCTAGCAATGTATTAATATTGAGGCAGTTGAGTTCCTGCAGGAAGGTCACCCTGCCTGTCTTTTAAGTACTTGTCAGTGGGCTGCAAAGGAAATTTAATTTTTTTCTACATTTCTTTTGCCTTTGTTCTCCACATCATTATCCATGCTCTCAAAAAAATTTTTTTTGCCTTAAAATTTAGTGGTTAAAAACAGGTATGAGATTACTTCGAATTATTTAATTTTTCTTGGGAATGTTTAGTTTTTATGATAAGTAATTTTAGTCTAAAGTAGTTTTTTATATTTGACATAAACTTAATTTACTTCTAAAAGAAACACATGAACAATAATAACCTAATTCTTATAAGCTCAATTTTTCTCAGTGAGGATTTATTTGTTCAAAAATGCTTCTTGAGGGGCACCTGGGTGGCTCAGTCGGTTGAGCATCCAATTCTTGATTTTGGCTCAGGTCGTGATCTCAGAGTTGTGAGATTGAGCCTCGCAGCAGGCTCTGCACTGGGAATGGAATGGAGTCTGCCTGGGATTCTCTCTCCCTCGCCCTCTGCACACACCCCCCCTCTTTAAAAAAAACAAAAGCAACACATTTTGATAGTCCACTGTGTGCTCTGTTCTAAGTGCTAAGGAAACAAGAATGAACAAAATAAAGTCCCTGCCTTCATGGAGCTTACATTTAAATACGAGGAAAACAGAAAACAATCAAAAACCGAGAATTGCCGATGGAGAAGTGAGATGGCAAATGGGCAGCAATCGACAGCAATCGGAAGGGGCTGAAGAAAGCCTGGTGCCTGGAAGGGTCGGGTCTCATTTGGGCAGACAGCCTCTCCAGAAGGTGGGGCTCTCAACCTCCTGTCAACAGTGGGCCAGCTGTGAGAAAATCTGGGGGAGGAGCCTCCCACACAAGACACAAGATGTCACCAGCCTCTCTAATGACACAAGATGCTTGTTCTAAAGTGACATGGCTACGCAGCCCATGTATGCCTACCAGAAATCACATTTATGTTGCCAGTCTCTGAGGTCTGGGGACACTGGTACTGACGCCAACATCTTCTAGATGTTTAAATACAGGATCTATTGGAAAGTAGGAGAGGGTATTAAAAAAAGTGGGGGATAAAAAAAATGCCAATCACAAGAGAAACAATACTAAACACACAGAGTACATCTTCAATGCTCCAAAGAATTGCTGGAACTGTTAGTGGGTCTCTCCAACAAAATATAGCCCTACCCCAGAGATTTTGCTGGAGAAGATGAAAGAAACTATAATTGAGTAGAAAAACATAATTTACACACAGGTATGTGACCGTTTAGAACCAATATGAACAATTCACTTTGAATTTTAAAACATTCCTATAACATTGATGTAAACTCAGCGTAATAAACTCAAGTGTGAAATTATTAGATTTGCTTGTAATGTCAGGGTCAATTTGAAACCTTGCCTCCAGTGAAAGTGATACTTCTGTGGCTAAACTACTTCAAATCTGAATTCATTTGCACCAGGGTCATCCCCTTCTAATATGTGTACTAAAAGTCCCCAAATAGTCTCAGGGCCTGCCTCACTTTGGCAAAGATTCTAGCCAGTCCAAAAGGATTCCCCAACATGAGCAGCACATACTGGATCCAGACACAAAATGAATGTCATCAAGGAGGCCACTGACCAACCTCTCAATGATCAAAAGGCAGCTGGGGGACTTCGGTGGGCAGAAGATTTGGGCAGAGCTGTGGCTAGGGATCCAAGATACAGAGAGAGAGATAGGAACCAGAAAAGGAGACGAGAAGAAGTAAAAGAGGCACATTCCCAGATGGAGCCATTTTATTTCTAAACTTGAGTCGAAACAGATACAGACTTTCCTGCCTCCACTGTGGATTTTCACCTTATAAAATAGATTTGCTACCAAAATCCTTCATAAAATCTGCCTTCCTCTTGGCAGTGGGAAATAAGCAAAAAGTCAAAGGTTAAGAGGTCATGCATAAAATATCATAGCCAACAAGATAATTATACAATGGTCTCAAATTCTTCACAAATAAATGATAAAACGTTAAGACTAATTTACACTCCACGATATTCACAGCACTTCAAGGTTTTTTTCTTCATATATTTATGTTCATATTTCACAAACAACAGTACTACAAAAAGACTATCAACTTTTCCATAAAATAGGAAAACAAAACAAAGCCATCATACTATAAAATAAATCTGCGGAGCATAAACTTTTTAATATAAGAACAAAAATTAAAAGACAGCGAATTCACCCCAAACTAGGATATCTTCACCATAAAATCTGTAGGCTTCCCAAAGGAGTCCTTAGCACTCAGAGTTTTGGTTGGTTTAACCTGTCTTGTACCTACTGGTTTTTGTGTATCCTGATCCCAACTGTTGTTATTCCAGGAAGAATTTCAAGAAAGAACTTCAAGCAAGGTCTGAGGTGGGATCCAGTGCAAGTCATTAGACAAATTATTCACACACATAAAAGCTTTAATGAAACTCAAGTGTTTCATTCGAAACAGTGGTTGTCCCTTTTTCTTTCACTCCCTTCTCATCCAAGAGAACCCTTTAAAGATCTAGAATCATTTGTTGTCTGTAATTACTATAGCATTTGACTCATAATTCTGGGGGAAAATATGCGATTTTAAGAAACTCTTTGCGTGTATATTTTCCTTGCTTTCTAGAGGTAGATAACCTCAAACTAAGGCCCAGACATTGGTCCCTTCAAACGGTATTAAAAAAACCAATAGTATTAAACGAGGAGAGTAGCTGTCAAAGAGAAGAACCAAAATCCTGGTTTTTTAGAAAAACAAAATCTTTGATGAGATTTGTGTCTATGTATATGAAAAAATTGACCTACAAAAAAAAAACCCTAGAAAACAAACAAACAACAAACAAACAAACAAAAAACCACTGGAGAAGAAGCCAATACAATTTTCCAGTCTGACAAAATGGTTGGAATTTACAGTTGGAAGAGACCTCGTAGATTAAGTAATTCAAATCACTGATTTTAGAGGGAAGGGGAAAAAGGCCCAGAAATGGTCAATGACTTGTCTCCGTCCATTAGCATGTTAATCGGCATGATTATTTTTTAGACATACACAGGCACACATGCATACACACATATTTTGTACATAAAATGCTACTGGCTTGTATAATAAATGAAAAATAAGGGTGCACATTTTCACTGATTTCATTGCGGAAGTGGGAAGTGCCCCCTTTCAAACAAGCTAAAAGGTTTCACTTTCTCTCCACTCCATCCTGTCCACTGATGGATGGGCCATATCATGACCTGCTGTCCTGCTCCCTTCTGCAACCCCTGCAAAGGGCAGGGGTGAGGGGGCGGGGGGGAGCATGGTCAGAATGGCAGGAAGGAGGGCAGGGGTACTCAACCCAGAACTGGAGTCCCTTGCAATTCTGAAGATGTTCCCACTGGCAGTGAAGGCTTTACATGAAGTCAAGGTTGGGCTATCGTAAATTCGAGACCAGGCTGGAAGGAGATAAAAAGAGGTGAAGGCACCAGGTGCAGATGTATGTGTCACACAGGAGAATATGAGTTAGTGTTCCTCTGACCATCGAGGGCAGAAATGAGCAGTGTGTGTCTTACCTAAGTTACTGAACTATAAACTTAGATGACTCTACCAGGTGTAGTCATAGTTTCTAATTATTTTAATTTGTGATTGCTTGTGAACATCAAAATATTTAAGCCTAATGTGCAGTAGTATTAATAGCTACTTTACCTCTTTCCATAAAATTACATGTGGATATAATTCTAAGGTAGTTGTTTTAAAAAATATTATTTTTAATATTCATTATAGACGTTATTCTGAAAAATCTTAAGTTTGCTGCATATATTAACATTAAATAACTTAAAAAATAAACAATACATTATATATACCAAAATAGCCCCATTTTAAAGCCATGTAAGTGAAAAAATTGAGTTTTTAAGAATAAACTATACCCTCTAAAGGTATTTTTCATAATTTCAGTATTAAATGTATCTTCTTTTCTGACTATGCCAAATATATTACACACTGCTCTTGGTGATTTATATCAGAAATATTCATTATGAAAATAAATAGGTTGGTTCATTTGTCTATTTTACTTGTTCTGTAATGGAAAATTTATCCTACAGCTAAATGAATTTACTCCCAGAAGATCACCCCCACAGAGATAGCATAACCAAAAAACTTAACAATGTAAAGATATCCAGTCCATGTGACTCTATATTTTCTAATAATAGTGGTAAAAAGTAACTTTCAAGTATCATTCTAATCCAACTGGACTTACAGATAGCTATCACATAAAATTAATGCTCTAAAGGAAGAAAGTCATTTGAGAAACTTGTCCTTGCTAGAACACCTTTGGTGAAATTCCCATAGGAAACAAAACCATCTATCCATAAAGAACAGAGGTCACTTGGTACCCAGCACGGACCTTTACGTGCACACAAGAAACACTGCTCTGAATTTAAAGCAAACCCTAGCAAGTTGAAGAGCTCACATTTTCTTTACTCATTAAGGGTCACTATGTCATCCACAGCTGGAAGAATTTCTTCTAGAAAGAATTTCTTGATGAAGACAGAACCCAAAGCTATTTCAGCTCCTCGTCCTGCTCTCTGCAGCCGTGAGTACTGGTAGTAGTTTGGCTAAAACAAAAAGAACAGAGTCACTAGCCCACTCTGAGAACCAGCTTCAGACATTTTGTATGGATGTTAGTCAAACACATTTCCAAAAATTAAATTAACATAAGGTATGCAAGGAATAGAGATTCCATCACTCAGAAGTCACAAGGGGAAATCAGTCAACTAAAAAGCGCATCTTTTTCCAAAGCAAGTGCAGGAGGTCAAGAGGGGCTCAAGCATTCTAGAAATGTTACTTGTTTACAGGTTTTGATCCAGCCACTTGATGTAACTATCCCTAGTCCGGATTCCCACTGAGAAGTTGGTGGGCCAGCTGGTGAAAATCATGCAGCCATGGAAACCATCCTCAAAGTGATCTAGGGTCACCTGCACACCTGCGCTCTCCAGACGCTTGGCATACATGATCCCATCGTCCCTTAGGACGTCATGCTCACACGTCAGAATATAGGTCTTCGGGAGATGCTGCAGGACTTCCTGCTCTGCGATGAGTGGGGCTGCCCGGGCATCCAGCAGCTGAGGGATCTCCTGCACAATCCTGGTGTTGCCAGTGGTCTGCATGACAGGCTTGTAGTCCTTTGTGATGGAGGCAGGCAAGAGGGACGTCCAGTTTAGACGGGCCCTGAGGGCAACCGCCTCTTCCACATCAAGTGAAGTGTGGTTATTAACTATCATTGCCTGGACAAAGTCATAGTTGCCTTGGAAGTAGTCCACCCAGTACTTCACCATAACATAACGGGGCAGGATTGGTGTGTTCACATTTTGCTGATAAGAGGGTGTGTTAAAATCTAAAGCTTGAAGAACCGGGTAAATTAAAGCTTGCACCTTGAGCTTGTTTTTGAGGTTGGCATCTTGAGCAAACTGGAGAAGAGGAAGCAAACACATTATTTCTTTTTGCATGGCTCATTTTACAGAAACCACACCTTATAAAGTAGCTTGATGCCTTACTTTGCATCAAGCGAAGGGTAAAAGTATGAAATTTCTACCAGCCATGGGATTAAGTAATGTAGTTTAAAAAATAAAACTTCCCTACCACTGACCACTACCACCGTCCCAATCAAGCTGCTGGATATTTACTAAGAAAGATACGATATCTGAGTGGACCCTGCAGATGTATGCGACCTCTTAGGTCTTCAAACCCCCATGCACACTTTTCTTGTCTCTGTTCTTTGGCAATAGCACACCTTGCGGGGTAAGACGGATGGATAACGGGTGAACCTTATTGAGTTCAGTATTCTCTGCAAGGCCCCAAAAGGCAATGGCTTCCTGGAGAGAAACAAACTAGTCTGACCCTTCCAGAGGAGAGGGGTAGGAAAAGCTAAAGAAACAGACAATGGGACTCCAAAGTGTCTGAGAAGGACCTCGGGGTATCTCCTCTGATGAGCAGTTAGTATTCATAGATGGGTGAGAGAGAATTTAAATGGTGCTGGCAACATGCCGTCCATTCTCCTTAATGAGCATGCGCCCAAGAGTTGAGGTTGAAATGGGAACGTGAATGCATCCCCTACCTCAGCAGATCTCAAGTCCCCCAAACCCCCGCAAAATGCGAACATACTGCCTCATTTTAGACACTAGAACTGTGTCTAAAATGATATATATTTTCATGTAACCTCTGAGAGGCAGCTAACTAGGTCACTGTGTTTTATAGGCAACTAAACACTCTTCAATGTCATTTTAGCCACATACAATTTTGTTTCACGTCAGAGTTTAGAACCCCATCCCCAGGGAAGATGTAACTGCTTTGTCAAAGCAAAAGGAAATGATCGGTTAATGGTACTATTGATACGTGCCAGGAATTGTATATACATCATTTCACTAAGTTCTGGCAACAGCCCTGCAATCAGATGGCATTATCCTCATTTTCCTGTGGCTTAGAGATGTTAAGGTGCTTGCCCAAAGCCCTATAGCTCTCAAAGCAGGGGGACTGGCTTCCATCCCAGTTCTCATTGTAAAGCCCATGATGCTCTCGCCCTGCTACCTCAGCACTTTCTTCTTACCACATTTGGACACAGGTACAGCAACCCCGCCAATACCAGAGAACAAAGTTCTTTACATACATGTAGCAAAGGAGAAGAAACCAAGGTGCACCACAGATAAAAAGGTAGATGCTATTTGAGAATACCAAAAGAAATTTGGAGGCGAGAAGACAGAGCTGGTGTTCTAAACTTATTTAATCCATCACAGGAAGAAAATGTACTTATCTTTGAATTTATGCAGCTGCCCAAAATTCTGGGTGCTCTTAGACCTAGATAGTTTTCAAAGAATTTAACCAGGTAAGCTCAGATGAACTTGTGGGATAACTTTCGAAGTGGCTGACCCATTTTAATTTTTTTTGTTTGTATTTAAAAAAAAAAAAACACAACTCTGGAAAACGCTTTTTAACTTTTCCATTTACCTCAAAGTTCTAAGGAAGCAATCTTAGCAATTGGAATTTAAGCACAAAGACCCCCATTTTTCAGGTCCAACATGGACAAGAAGCCAGGGATACTTGATTTCCATGCATATCCCTGAGCAGCAAGAGAGCCCTATAAAATAGTAGCCCTTTTTTTCATATTAATCGTAATCAGGGCCTTTCCAAGGACGGAGAGGTGACACTTCTTTCATTGACCCCTCTTCCTACTTCAAAAAGATCTGAGAGCTCTCCAAGTGCAGGCTTCTGAATAACTTGGCCCCCTACCGACCAGCCCACCTGCTACGCCTTTGCCATACGTGGTGGAGAATATTTGTCCATCTGTCTGCAGGAGGTTAGCCGGCACCCTCCTACCTCCAGCACCGAAGGGCAGTATCTGTTACCTGCTGGCCCAGAGCAGCGGCCAAATTCCCACCAGCACTGTCACCAGAGATGCCAATTCTGTCTGGGTCAACCGAATACTTGTGTAAGACTTCCGGCTGCAGGAAATACTTTGTGGCACGCATAACATCGTGAATTTGTGCAGGAAAATAAACTTTTGGAACTAGCCTGTATCTGTGAAGACAAAAGTTATATTCATTTAAGGACTTCACCAAGACTTTATAGGCCATTTAAGGTTTAAGGGGAAACTGGCTCTTTTGACACAGAAATAAGCAAGTGAGGAATTAAAATAAATACAAAGGGGCGCCTGGCTGGCTCAGTCGGTACAGCATATGACTCTTGATCTCAGGGTTGTGAGTTCGAGCCCCACATTGGGCACAAAGCTTACTTTAAAAAAATAATAATAATAATAAAATAAATATAAAAATGAACCATTCATTTTCTTTTTTTTTTTTAAGATTTTATTTATTTGTCGGAGAGAGAGAGAGCGCACAAGCAGGGGGAGTGGCAGGCAGAGGGAGAAGCAGACTCCTATCCGAGCAAGAAGCCCGATGCGGGGCTCGATCCTAGGACCCTGGGATCATGACCTGAGCTGAAGGCAGACGCTTAACTGACTGAGCCACCCAAGCATCCTGAACCATTCATTTTCTTGCAAATCAAATACTTAGTTTAAGAATGTAATGCTTTTGTATTAGCAATAGTCCTCTCCCCCCCCCTTTTTTTTATTATCAGCCACCAAACAAAACAAACACCTAGACCACCACAATGGAAAAACAAAATTTCAAAGTTAAAGGTGGGTGTTGTTTATTAAGATATGGGTAGAACCACAATAGATTTTGACATTTTATTTCTGGAAGTCAGTGTTCCAGTTCACAACACCGATGGATTAGAAGGTGACCTGGCAACATTAACCATTTCATTAGTCTCATGTTCAATGGCTCCATATGGTATCCTTCATGATTTACCTGAGAAATATAGTAAAACTGTACTCCGATGAAGAGGTCATGCCAGCCTGACATGAAACCCAGGCAGTGAATTCACTCCCTGGGAGGATGGAACTGAAAGGCTAGTTGCCAACCAGCAAAAAGGAAGCCAAGTCTGCCAGATGGCCAGGACAGGCCCTCTGGGACACTTCTGAGGCTTCTCCTATCACCCCACTTTGTAATATCAGAGTCCCTTTGGGACCCTACTCTGTATACTTTGTAGGATTCCTATGCCCTTAAGAGTTCCAAAGAACCTAGTTTTGTCAAACGCCCCACCCATAATATCATTTTACAAATCCGTATTTGCTGGTAGACTGGGCCTGGAGGATTTTCTCAATCTCCTCCTCCTTTCCTCCTTAATTCTCACTCATCCTTTAATCCTTATGCAAGGGTTTGGCCACCTCCAGGTAGAGTTCCTTGATTAAAACTCCACTCACTTTCAGGGCTGAGCTGGGTACCACTCCTTGATAATTCTACGTGCTGGGGTAGATTACTGTTCTTTCTGCCTCATCTTAAAATGATTTATGTATTTCCTCTAAAAAGTGTGTTCTCTGATACCAAGACTGTGTTTTATTCATCACTGTGTTCCCAGTATCCATCCATGTGCTAGGCACATATCATCCATACAGTAAACCCTTTTTGAGAATTAACACCTTCCTTTTGCAGACAAAAGAAACGAGGCACCTACAAGTTACTTTGTTGTTTTTTTTTTTAAAGATTTTATTTATTTATTTGAGACAGAGAGAATGAGAGAGACAGAGAGCACATGAGAGGGGGGAGGGTCAGAGGGAGAAGCAGGCTCCCTGCCGAGCAGGGAGCCCGATGCGGGACTCGATCCCGGGACTCCAGGATCATGACCTGAGCCAAAGGCAGTCGCCTAACCAACTGAGCCACCCAGGCGCCCCAACATTCCAATATATGAATGTGCTACAATTTATTTCCCTGTTGAAAAACATTTGAGATCTTCTTCTTTTTTTTTTTTTTGAATGAGAGAGAGAGAGAGAGCACATGAGAGGGGGGAGGGTCAGAGGGAGAAGCAGGCTCCCTGCCGAGCAGGGAGCCTGATGCGGGACTCGATCCCGGGACTCCAGGATCATGACCTGAGCCGAAGGCAGTCGCTTAACCAACTGAGCCACCCAGGCGCCCCAAGTTACTTTATTTGTAAAATAAGTCAAGCACAGATAAAAACAAGGTGGGATAGAAACTAATTACTTAAACTCTAATAATATTAAGAACTCAGGTCTTTTAATTTCTATTTTATAATTAACATACTTATTCTCGGAAACTAATTTCTCCCCCATCTAAAATCCAACTAGTTAATTAAGTATCTTGACATTCAGTACAGATACAATCAAATGGACAAATATTTGTGAAATACTCCAAGAAGTAGTGATCATTGATCTGGTTACTCAAGAATGACTGCATTTTGAAAATTCTAAATGCAATAAAAAAATTCCCTTAGTGGTTGCCTTATAACGGACTAAATGATTTTTCTAACTTCTTTTTTATTTTTCCATCTGTGGATCAATTAATCATCCAAAATGTGTTTTTCTCCCGTTGAATTTCATCATGTCCTACAGCGCCTGCTATACTATTGGTTAATGAGTGAAAGGAGTAGGATTACACCACTTTTTCCACTAGATGGCGCCATCTCATAGGATTCCATTTACCCCCAGTTGTAGGACAAGATCTCAATTTTCAACTTCAGTTTCACCAAGCTGAAATTTTTTTTTTTTTTAAGAGAGAGGGAGAGAGAGGAGGGAGGGGCAGAGGGAGAGAGAGAGAGACAGAATCTTAAGCATGCTCCACGCCTAGAGTGGAGCCCTACATGAGGCTCCTCAATCTCACAACGCGGACATCACAACATGAGCGGAAATCAGGAGTCAGTAGCTCAACTAACTGAGCCATCTAGGCGCCCCTTACCAAGCTGATTTTTTTTTTTATTAAGATTTTATTTATTTATTTGAGAGAGAGAGACAGAGATAGGGACAGAGACAGTGAGAGAGAAAGCAGGAGATCAGGGGAGAGATAAGATCCCCTGTAGGGAACCTGACCCAGGACCCTGGGATCATGACCTGAGCTGAAGGCAGCTGCTTAACCCACTGAGCCACCCAGGCACCCCCAAGCTGAACTCTTAATTCTTTCAATGAAATAAAAACCAATGCACTTCATGACTCAATGAAGTCATGTGACAATAAAGTCACATGTGTGACAATAAAGTCAATGTGACATGTGACAATAAAGGCTATTTTGTCTTAGCAAGATTCCATATATCATGATAAACTGTTTTCCAGGTAGCCCAGGATGTCAGAACATATTCTACCAGTATACACACATGAATTGAATCTTCGGATGTTGTTTCCCTAAAGGTCTTCGTGACTTTGAATCAAGGGAAACTGGTAATCTAAAAAAAGCCTTGCTACTGCCTCAGTCTTATCAGTCGATTAATAATTGGCTCAGATAACAAAGTAAGCAACGAACAGGTCATAATTGAGTCTTTCTGGTACCCTTAAAGATCTGCCTCCTAATCCCTCCTATCTTTGTTTAAGCTGGAAACTTTCTCTAGTTTTATTCAATAAGAAGGGACACTATTTTCATAGATTGGAAAATAGAGTGAAACTATATACTTCTGAGGTCACCTAGTGTAAGATAAGCCGTCAAAGTAACTTGAAATTGACCTGAGAAGTACAGCAAAAGTTCTGTAATATTTTTGGAGACACAGAAAACTCAGAGTCAGGAGAAAATTTATGAGTGCTAGAGCCAAAGATAAATAAATTTTACATATATATGTAAATATATATAATATATTTATATATATTTATTTATAGACATATAAATATATATATTTACTTATATATATAAACAAATATATTTATCTGATGCTTTTGTTTAAAGATATGTTCCTGCAAAGTATGAAAAGAGGAGTCTGACTTTTTTAAATTTCAAAATTATAGATCTTGAGTTGAAGCACCTGCTGAATTTGTAGCAAATATGGTCTTAATTTGCCCAGCTCACTGCAGGGATAGATAACTCTGCAGAGCTGGCTTCTGCCTATCTGTTATTGCACACACCTCCTTCTAGCAAAATTTGGTTGTGAACCCAGGAATGAAGCTTAATCAATTTAATAAATGCGTATACTCTATAAATATTATCTTATTCCTGCTAGGTGAGGCACCCCCCCCCACCCCCTGCCAAGTACTCTGTAGATGTGTTTCACCCAAATCGCAGGGCAAACTTGTGGGTGTAAGAATGAGAACGTGAGGCTCAAGGAGGGGTAACTTGTTTACAACAGCTCGTATGGGGCAAAGCTGTGTGGTGAATTCACCACTGACTTCAAAACCCACGTGTAACCCCCGCCTTAGAAAATATTCTCCTTGGGGCGCCTGAGTGGCTCAGTGTCGGCCTTCGGTGTCAGGTCATGATCCCCGGGTCCTGGGATGGAGCCCCGCATCGGGCTCCCTGCTCTGCAGGAAGCCTGCTTCTCCCTCTCCCTCTCCCCCTGCTTGTGTTCCCTCTCTCACTGTGTCTCTCTCTGTCAAATAAATAAATAAAATCTTTAAAAAAAAAAGAAAGAAAGAAAGAAAATATTCTCCTTCTTCAGAAACCTACAGCCTTATAAATGTGTATGAGTACATGTGTTTTCTCATTACCTCACCAGAGCAGTAAATTCTCAGAACTACAGATTTCTGACATCCCAGAATGTGTCTCATGATTTCAGTGGTTTTGTGATATTCTCAAACAAACCACCTCCCACAGTGCCTGGCACATGGTATATCTTTAATAATATACTTTTCTTCCTTCCACACAAAATTTTAAAGATTTATTTTGTAGCTTTTACATATAAAATATGTCATATAGCACTTTCTGTGGTGAGACAAGTAATAAGCCATATGGCTTTAAAAACATAAAAAAAGAAATTGTTCCTAACCCACCCACTCCCCGGACACATCTCCAAGAACTCCACTTCTTGCATTCTAATGCATAGCTCAGAGTTTCTCAACTCTGTGTGCACCTTACGATAATCTTGGGAGCTTTACAAAAACACTGAGGTTTAAGCCTCTCTACAAAACATTCCAACGTATTTGATCTGGTGTGGAGTCTTGCATATCTGTATTTGAAGGGAAATTCCCCCCAATAATTCTGATGCACAGCCAAGGTTCAGAAATATCACTGAGTCCAGCCATACTGTCA